GATGAGACAAAAAGGGTCATTTTATATTGACAAAAAGACCAATCCATAAAGAAGATACAGAAATTGCAAACATATACACACCAAACATCGACACACCCAATTTCATAAAACATAAAAGCACGGTGGGTGAATTTAATAACCTACTCTCACCAATAGATAAGTCATTCAAACAAAAAAACCAAAGGAACCTTTAAAGCTGGTCTACTCAGTTGGCTCCATGCCTTATCCTAAGCTACTCGCTGAGGCAGAGATAGGAGGATCATGGTTGAGTCACCTGGGTGGATAGTTCCGAAACCTATATCAAAAAATACCAGCATAAAAAGGGCTGGTGGGTAGCTCAGGTGGTAGTTGTGCCCTGTCTAGCAAGAAGAGGTCCTGAAGTTCAACGTCAGCACCACAAAAAAAAAAAAAGAAACTAAGAATTAACACCTGTGATTCAAAATGGACTTAACAGATATCTATAGAATGTTCCACCCAGCAGCTGCAGAATACACATTCTTCTCAGCAACTCACAGAACTTTTTCCAAAATAGATAATCCATTTTAAGGACATAAACAGCTCTAGCAATATCAAGAAACTGAAATAACTTCCTGTATTTTATCAGACCGAAATGAAATAAAAAATATTCAAACACATAGAGACTGAAAAATACACCTTTTTTATGTTGGGGATGGAATCCAGGCCCTTACACATCCCAGGCAATTGCTCTATCATTGAGCTATATCTTCAGCCCAACAATGCACTTTTGAAAGAAGGTGTGTCACCAAAGAAATAAGAGGGAAATTTAAAAAATATTTCTATAAACAAAGGAAAATGAAAACACAACTACCAGAACTTTGGGGCACAGCAAAGACAGTGCTAAGAGGAAAGTTTATAGCTATCAGCATCTACATTAAAAAGTCAGAGAGCTCTTCAAATAACTTACCGCTATACTTCAAGCTCTTAGAAAAGCAAGAACAGGCCAAAACCAAAAGCAGTAGAGGGAAAGAAATAACAAAGATCAGGGCAGAAATCAATGAAATGGAGACAAACAGAACAAGGCAAAAAAAAAATGAAACAAAGAGTTGGTTATTTGAAAAGATGAACAAGATTGACAAAACTTTAGAAAGAAGAAAAAGATAAAAATTAACAAAATTAGAGGGCTGGGGAAATGGCTCAAATGTTAGAGTGCCTGCCTAGCAAGGATGAAGGCAGAGTTTAAACCCCAGTACTGGAAAAAAAAAAAAAAAAGGTATGAGAAAGGGGATATCACAACAAAGGCCAATGAAATTCACAGGATCATTATGGAATATTGTGAAATTTTATATTCTAATAAACTGGAAACTCTAGAAGAAATGGGGAAATTTCTAGATGTATATGACCTCCCAAAATTGAACCCAATGGGTAAAAACCACCTAAACAGATCTATAATATGCAATGAGGTTGAAGCAGTAATAGTCTTTCAACAAAGAAAATCCCACAATCAAATGGATTTACTATTAAATTCTACCACACATTTAAAGAACAAATAACACCAATGCTCTTCAAACTACTCCAAAAAACAGAAAGGGAAGGAATACTACCAAGCTCATTTTATAAAGCCAATATTATTACCCTGATACCAAAACTGTATAAGGACAAGACAAAAAAAAAGAAGAAAATTCTAAGCCAATTTCACTGATGAACATAGACACAAAAATTCTCAATAAAATACTTTGAAACTGAATTCAACAACACATTGAAAAGATTATATACCATGTCAAGTTGGTTTCATTCTGGAATGAATCTGGATTGAAAGATAGCTCAACATATGCAAATCAATAAATGTACATAAATAGATTAAAGGACAAAAATCACATGATCATCTCAAGAGATGCTGAAAAAGCCTTTGACAAAGCTCAACATCTCTTCAGGATAAAAGCCCCAAAGAAACTAGGAATAGAAAGAACATGCCTCAACATAACAAAAGCATATAGTTCTAATTATAGGGTTCTATAATTCTAAATGAAGAAAAAATTAAAGCATTTCCCCTAAAGTAAGGAATAAGACAAGGGTCCACTCTCCACTCTTATTCAATATGGTGCTTGAATTCTTTGCCAGAGCAATAAGGCAGAAAAAGAAATAAAAGGGATACAATTAGAAAGGGAAGAAGTCCAAATATCCCTATTTGCAGATGAAATGATCCTATATTTAAAGACCCTAAAGACTCCACCAAAAAACTGTTGGATATTATAGCCACTTTAGGCAAAGTAGCAGAAAACAAAATCAACATTGAAAATCAAGTTTTTTGGGTGGAGTGGGTGGTAAGGGAGGGGGTGGGGGCAGGGGGGGAGAAATGACCCAAGCCTTGTATTCACATATGAATAATAAAACAATAAAAAAAACTGGAAAAAAAATCAAGTCTTTTTTTTTTTTTTTTAAAGAAAAACTATTTGGTGGTACAAGGGGCTGATCAGGGCTTTGCTCTTGCTAGGCAGGCTCTCTACTATTTGAGCTACTCTGCCAGCCCTATTGCACTGGTTATTTTTGAGATAGGGTTTCGTTTTTATGCTGGTCCAGCTGGGACTATGATCTTCCTATTTGTATCTCCGAATGCACCTGGGATTACAGGCACCTGCTATTGTGTCCCATCATTGGTTGAAATGGGATCTTGCAAATTTTTTGCCCAGGTTGGCCTTGAACTACAATCCTCCAGAACTCTGTCTCCCAAGTAGCTAGGATTATAGCCATGAGCCACCACATCTGGCTCAGTAGCTTATCTATATAACAATAATGAACAGGCTTAGAAAGAAATCAGGAGGACAATCCACTCATAATAGCTTCAAAAGCAGAAATATACTTCAGGAGGTGAAAGACCTCTACAATGAAAGCTATAATACTTTGAAGAAATAAATTGCAGACACTAGATTCCACACATTCATGGATTAGGAATTAATACTGTGAAATGACTATATTACTGAAATCAATCCCAGAGACATTCTAAAGTCATTCTTCACAATAATAGAAAAAAAAATCTTAAATTTCGTATGGAAGTACAAAAGACCCCAAATAGCCAAAGCAATTCTGAGTAAAAAGAAGCATCACATTATCTGACATTAAATTATACTACAGAGCCATAGTAAAAAAAACACCCTGGTATTCATACAAAAACATATGTAAACCAATGGAATAAAATAGAAAATCCAGAAAAAGCCCATATAGCTATTGCCATCTGATTTTTTACCAAAGTGTCAAAAGTATACATTGGAGAAAAGAGAGTCTCTTCAACAAATGTTGTTGGGAAAACTGGATATCCACATGAAGGCTGAAACTAGACCCCTATCTCTCACTCTGTACAAAAATTAATTTAAAATTAATCAAAGCCTTTAATGTAAGACCAGAAACTGTGAAATTGGTGCGGAAAACATAGTGAAAACATGAAGATATGGGCACAGGCAATGACTTTATGAATAAAACTCTACTTTCTTAGGAAGTAACAACAAGAATTGACAATTGAATTGCATCAAATTAAAAGGCTTCTACACATTAAAGGAAACAATTACCAGAGTGAAGAGACAACTCTTAAATGGGAGAAAATCTTTGCCAGCTATTCATCCAACAGGGGATTAATATCCAGAATATGTAAAGAACTAAAAAAATTAAACATCCAAAGAATAAACAATCCAATTAATGAATGGGCAAGTGAATTGAACAGACATTTCTCAAAAGATATACAGCCTGGTACCTGTGACTCATACCTGTAATCCTAGCTACTTGGGAGACTGAGATCAGGAGGATTGCAGTTTGAGGCCAGTTTGGGCAAATAGTTTTGAGACCCCATTTCCAAAATAATCAGAGTAAAATGGACTGGAGGCATGGCTCAAGTGGTAGAGTGCCTGTTTTGCAAGCGCAAAGCCCTGAGTTCAAATCCCAGTCCCACAAAAAAAGAGAAAAATACAAATGGCTGAATGCCTGGCTCAAGTGGTACAGTGCCTGCTTAACAAGTACAAGATTCTGAGTTCAAACCCTAGTACTGCCAAAAAAAAAAAAAGAAGTATGAATGGCCAAGAAATTAAGATATTTCAACATTCTTAGCTATAAATGAAATGCAGATCAAAATGATGTTGAGGTTCCATCTCACAAGAAAACAAACACACATTGTAAGCACATATGCAAATGTTACAGTGAAACCCCTGGGTACAACTAATATACACTTATTAAAAATCTAAAAAAAAAAAAAAACCCAAAAAAGAAAACATAACAAATGCTAGTGAGGATGAGGCAGAATACGAAAATCTTATACTCTGTGGTGGGAATGTAAATTAGTGCAACTACCATGGAAATCAGCAGTGGAGGTTCCTCAAAAAACTAAAAATTAAACTGTCATATAGTAGGAAAGAATGAGAGGGAGGGAGGGGGAGAATTTGGGAGGAGGGAGGGAGAGAGAAAGAGAATATCTGATAACTTCCCATAAGATTTATCACTTTTTCAAGAGTGTGCTTTCCTTTTTGCTCAATACAGCACGTTTGTGTTTCTTAGTTAATTTATTAGTCTCCTTTTCTGAATTGTAAATGCTTTGAAGGACATTTTTTGTTTGTTTTTTGAGACACAGCCTTGCTATGTAGCCCAGGTTTCTATATAATCCAAGTGACCTCTTGAGTGCTTGGATTACATGCAAGAGCCCCCATATACCATCTAGAATTTGTGGGAGAGCAGTATTAGGGGTTGAACTTAGGGCCATGCACTTGGTAGGCAGGAACTCTACAACTTGATCCACCACCAGTCCTTGAATTTTAAATATATTAAAATGAATAAGCAACACTATTGTAACACTAAAAAAACTTGAAGAGTTCATGCAAATTTGATAGCCAGATAGGGTTTTGGAAGTTCTTCATATATGGAAACTAGATTATGGTCTCATTAATTAAACAAGCCTTCCATTCCCATCCCATATGTACTTATTAGGATGAAAAAAACTGAGGGCAGGTTTGCTGTGTTAGGCTTTGTAACTGTATCAATCTAATTCTTATTTATTTTTCCAGAAACAACATAATCCAGCGATTAAAAGCCATCCAAAATACTGGGAAAGGTTCTGAGACCCAGGACCTCTGCACCACGCTCAGCAGAATTGATGACTACCAGAAAAAAGTGATGAAGGTTTGGACTGAGAAGCAGAAGCTTCTACAACAGAAACGAAATCAGTGCCTGACGAAAATGATAAATTTATTTAACCAGGTAACCTATTTCCCATTCTCTCCAGTTGTGTTGTGAAAAGACAACATAGCTGGGTATTGTGGTGCAGGCCTGTACTCCAAGCTACATAGGAGGCAGAGTTAGAAGGATCATCTCCCAAAGTGAGTCCTGGAGAAAAGCTTGAGACCGTATCTGAAAAATAAACTAAAACAAAACAAAACAATATATATATAACTTTGTATATATGTATATAACTTTATATATATATATAACTTTATATACATATATATAAAGTTTTACTTTAGTTGATATATACACACACATACACATATATGCACACACATATATGTATATACATGTGTGTTTATTTATGCATATATATGTATATGAAGTGATACATTTTAAAAATAACATTTACTTGAGACCATGAATATTAGTTTCCTAGGGATGCTATAACAAATCACCACAAACTTGATTTAAAACAACAGAAATTTATTATCTTACACTCTAAAGGCCAGAAATTCAGGGTTCAGTTCTCAGGGTTGGTTCCTTCTGGAGGCTTTGAGGGAGAAATCTGTCTCACGCTTCTCTTAGATTGTGGATTGGATTTCTTAGCTTGTAACCATGTAGCTTCACTCTGCCTTCAGATGGCCTTCTTCCCAGCATGTCTCCTATCTTCTCTTCTGACTCTTATGAGGTCACATATCATTGAATTTAGGACACATCTGATTAATCCAGGGTGATCTCATCTTGAGATTCTTAATTATATCTACAAAGACCCTTTTTCCAAATAGGACAAATTCATCTTTTGGGGGAGGCACCATTCAATGCACCATGCCATGACTCCTAAATTAACAACAGGAATATTTGCTAGATAGTAAGATGAGAATAGTAGAAACTTCCAGAAATGCTCAACTACTTCCTAGTCAATTTACATTTACCAGCTTCCAGATGACCTTTTGAAGTCGCTACCCTCTGACTGATTCTGGATCAGAGCAGAGTTCTTTCCTCAGAACTCTCAGGACACCGGTTTTATATCATGTGTTTACAACAAAGGGTTTGTTTAACTTGTTTACATAACACCAGACACAAAAGGTTCTGCTAAACTCTAGCATCCAACCATTATGTCCAGGAGCCCCTTCTGAGATGACTATCAATATGCTTTGGGGAGTGACAGTGACCTTCCAAAAGGTTACAGAGCTCTGGGATTATGTGCTCAAAGTTCCTAGTACAAGCTAGAGTTCTAATAATAAACGCCACTAGCTGGAGTTCTAGGAATATTTTATATCTATATATACTTTTTTTTTCATTAACATTGATTAATTTACAAGACTTACTTATATGCTACTTTGGTGGGGAGAGAGAGAGACTCATCATCATCACCAGATCCAAATTAAATGAATAGTCTGAATTTTCCATAATAGTTACATTTTAAATATTATAGTTTTGTTAAAAAAATTAATATACCTCAATTCTTTTCCTCTTTGTTTTTTTTTTTTTTTTTTTGAGTTCAGCTCAGACTGCCCCTGAACTCTGGAGATTCTCCTGCCTCAGCCTTCCAAGGCCTGAGATTATAGTTGTGTGTCACCATACCTGGTGTTATGCCTCAATTTTTGATTTGGCAAATATGGCCAGTGCAGGTGGAGTAAAGCAAGATGGGTTACCAGTGACATGAGCTATCTAACAGAAATCACAAAGTCTAGAGCATAGAGGATAATAAGGGTCTAGAATCAGGAAATTCAGAATGCAAATGATGAGATAAGGAGATCAAAGCATAAAGAAAGGAGAGGGGGAAAAAAACAAAAGGGATAGAGTGTAGGTTTGAATAAGTACCTTACACTGAATCAGGTTGTAATCAAGAAGGTTACCTCTGCTACTATATTGTCTGGGTTCAAATCAGACTTTGCCACATACTAGTTAAATGAACTTGGATGACTTGAGTTTTCTGAGCCTCAGATTCTCTATACGTAAAATAAAAATACTAATAGTGCTTACCTCATAAAGCTATTACAAATGAACTGACATATGGAAAGTACTTAGCTCAGCATTTGGTATTCGGCAAGTAATTTAGCAAGTGTTAGCTGTCATTTACATTTACATAGTGTTTCACAATTTACAAAGTGCTTCCACATATATTACACAACTTTCACAATCCTGTTATTCCCGTTTTAGAAACGAGAAGAAAAAGGTGCAGGTAAATTAAGCAACTAATCCAAAATCTCATAGCCAAGAAATGAGAGGACCAAGTAGGACTAGCTTAAGTAGGACCAAGGTTTTTTTATATCATAGCTGCCACCTGTAAAATTATGCATGTTGGAGGTGGAGTGGATGAAAAAGAGGCTTTGTAAATCTGTAGAAAAAGAGGAGTCATGTTTAAGGTCAGTTAGAAGGCCTTTCTAAAAATTCTGGCCCTTTCTTTTACTATTCCTTTTTTTCACATTTAGTCTTAGTCAAAAGACTGAGAAGCCGTACAGTGATTCTTTTTTCCTTATTTATTTACTTATTATTCTAGCTCCGAGAGATGTATAAATTGAATCTTAGTCAACCTATCCCTTTGATCACTGACAGTAAGCAGATACCTACTATTACTGAATTTGTTCAACAACCATTCTTAGAGTTACTAATTGAAGAGGACAAAAACTCTGGCCTTTTCAAGAAATTTAGGTATGTGATAGACTGATGTTAAGCTTTGTCTGGGTAATATGTAGCATCTAATGTTTTATTTTCATTTTTTAAAAATTTTACCCAAGAGTTTTCCTTTTCCACAGTTATGATATGGTAACAGGCAGAGTCTATAGGAATATTAATTTCCTTAACTAGTACATCAAGAGGTTTATTTATAATTTATAAATATTTCCACTTAAATATTTAACATCTGGATTTGAGTTCCTTTTTAAAAGAAAAAAATAGAGCCAGGTATGGTGGTTCACATCTGTAATCCCAACTGCATGGGAGGCTTAGGTAGGAGGATCTTGGTCCCAGTCCCAGGCAAAAAAGTGGGAGATTCTATCCAAAAAAGTAAATAAAGCAAAACAATAGGGCTGTGGATATGACTTAAGAGGTACAGTCCCTGCCTACCAAGTATGTAGGTCCTGAATTCAAACACCAGTACTACCAAAAAGAAAAAAAAAATTTCTTCCTTACTAAGAAACAAATTATTTTAAGAATATTTAGAAGCACAAACCACTCTTTTCTTTTTCTTTTTTTTTTTTTTGGTGAGACTGGGGTTTGAACTCAGGACTTCACACTTGCAAAGCAATTGCTCTACTGCTTGAGTCACATCTCTAGTTCTTGTTTGTTTGTTGTTGTCGTTTGTTTCTTTGTCTTTAAGAAGACCATAGCTTTGGGAAGGAAGGGGAAATGACATATGGTCTGTATACTTCGTGAAGTTATGAAGGCAGTTTTGAAATAGATGACTAGGTAAAGTTGTGGAGATGTAGTTTGGTAACTATTTTAACAAATTCTGCTTTTACATACATCCTCTGTCATTGTGGGCAGAACTAATGTTCCTTAGTACAAGGAGAGGACATTGTAGGACAAGGTGGTGGTGAAGACTAAGACTCAAATAATTTGATTGGCTATAGAGCTCGGAAGGGTTTGGCACTTCCACTTAATGCTCTCTGATTCTGTAGACAACAAGATCAGATGGAGTCCATCTGGAATGCTGATCTCTCTACTTCGAGCTACCCAATAACAGAGAAGACAACCATTCAGTCACTCTGGGCCCAGCTGGGCGGGTACCCAGATATTCCTCGGCTACTCCAGTTAGATATTCAGTCAACCTTCAGAAAATCACTCACATCCATTCAATCACAGTAAGTAAGGACTGGGAGCACTCTGGTAATTGGTTGGGTCTTTGGCTGTATATCTTTTGTTTCCCTAACTTTATTTTTTTCCACAGCACCAGGGAGTTAGCTAAAGTAAATGGTGTGAAGTTAGACTCACAAATTAGTGCAGTTAAATTCAGCATTAGTCAGTGTTTATATTCATAGGCCTGTAGCTGTCACTACTGAATATAAAACGAAGAAACAAATAGGCACAATACAGAAACTAATATAACACTAGCTAGTTCCACATTGAATTATGCCTTTAGGCATTTGTTATTGAAAATATCAAAAGAGCATTGTAAAATGCTTTTATTCATATTATGATTCAATGACATGACCTTAAATGAAATTGTCATATCTAAATACAGTTTGAGGGAACTTAGCCCAAAGTGGTAGAATGTGCCTGTAGTCCCAGCTTACTTGGGAGGCAGAGATGGGAGGATCACTTCAGCCCATGAGTTTGACACCTCCCTGGGCAACATAGTGAAGCCATGTCTCAAAAAACCAAAAATGGAGCCTGGTATAGTGTCTGCCAGCTGTAATCCCAACACATAGGGGGTAAGGCAGGAGGATTCTAAATTGGATGCCAGACTGGGCTACATAGTGAAACCCTGTCTCAAAATAAAAATAAAGCAAACAAAAAACTTGACATAAAGTAGGTGCTTATAGCCCAGAATATACTTAAGAGATATGGAAAGTATAGATAAGGTGATCATATGGTCCATAATTCCAAATTCCATATTTGCAATTCTATTGCAAATCATTCCAGTGAGAGCAAAGAGCTTTGTAGTCTGCATCACCTCTTTCAGCACAGAGAATTATTCAATGTTCTAAACCGAGAATTTAGAATATTGAGCTTATTAACTCGAAAGAGTTCATAAGAGCTGTCTAATATGGTAAAACCTATGTCCTAAAGTAAAAAGAAGTAGTGTTAATTTACAAATGTGTTCAGGTGTCAGACACCATGAAATAAAACATTTAAGATTCTATAACAGCTGGGCGCTGATGGCTCAAGCCTGTAATCCTAACTACCCAGGAGACAGAGATCAAGAGGATTGAAGCTCAAAGCCGGCCCAGGCAAACAGTTTGTGAGACTCTATCTCAAAAAAACCCATCACAAAAAAGGGCTGCTGGAGTGGTTCAAGGTGTAGGCCCTGAGTTCAAACCCCAGTACCATAAAAAAAAAAATTTCGGGGGTGGGGGGGAGAGGGAGGGGGCAGAGTGGGTGGTAAGGGAGGGGTGGGGGCAGGGGGGAGAAAAGACCCAAGCATTGTATGCACATATGAATAATAAAACAATAAAAATTTTTTAAAAATTCTATAAGCTTAGTGGTAGTGTGCCTGCTCCGCATGCCTGAAACCCTGGGTTTCATCTCCGGCACTGCAAAGCAAGCAAAATTAATAATAGAATAAGCCAGGCCCAATGGCTCACACCTATATAAATCCTATCTACTTGGGAAGCTGAGATAGAAAGGATCAAGGTTTGAGGCTAGTCTGGGCAAATAGTTCATAAGACACCATCTCCAAAAATAACCAGAACAAAATGGACTGGAGGTGCAGCTCAAGTGGTAGAGCACTTGCTTTACAAGCACAAAGCCCTGACTTCAAACCCCAGTCCTACTAAAAAAATAAAGGAAATAAAAATAATTTTAAAAAATCCTACAATAAGACAAAATAACAGCAAAAATACTACTACATAATATTTGTAATATAAAAACAGATAACCAGGTATGGTGGGACATATCTATAATCCCAGCTCTTGGGATGCTAAGGCAGAAAGATCAAGAATTTGAGGCTCTGTCTCAAAACAAAAACCAACTAACCAACCAAACAATATGGACAGATAGATAGATAGATAGATAAAATGAACATTATGTGGTCAAGAAAGAAGAGGTATCACACCAAATGCAGCCATTAAAAGTAATACGTGTGACTCATAAATTACAGGATGTAATCTGAGAGCAACTTTTTGTTTTCCATTTTCCCTTATTTATTTATTGGTGGTACTGGGGTTTGAACTCAGGGATTCACTTTTGCTAGGCAGATGCTCTACCGCTTGAGCCTCACCTCCAGCCCTTTTTGCTTTGGATACTTCTGAGATAGGGTCTCACTTTTTGGCCTTTTATTATATGCTTCCCATCACAGTTGAGATGACAGGCGAATGTCATTGCGTCCAGTTTTTTTCTGTTGAGATGGGGTCTTGCAAAGTTTTTTACCTGGGCGGGCTTGGAACTACAATCCTCCTGATCTCAGGCTCTTGCATAGCTGGGATGACAGGTGCACACTATCCCATCCATTACATCTTTTAAGTGATTAAGCTAATTCATTTAAGATTACTTTAAGGGATAACACTGCTAATTTAATGATTATAATGCTCAGGACAAGATACATGAATTTTTCTTTGAGAACATTTGCCTTACCTGCATTCATTCCATTGGCTATCCTCTTGAACTAAACTGTCCACTTCTCATGCCAAATCCCTACAGACTTAGTGAGACTCTATTTCCAGGTTACCATATAGACAAACTCAGAATCAAGGAACTTTTATCGCTTTCAGATATTTTTTTGATTTGTTTCATAGAACTTTTTGGAGACAGGTTCTCACTATATATCCCAGCTCTACCTCTTGAATGCTGAGATTACAGATATGCACCACCATGCCCAGCAAATGCATAGTTTTGAGTTTTGACAAATGCTTAATCATGACACTTGTCTATCTATTTTCTGACCATATAGTTTTACCTTTTCCATAATGTTGTATAAATTGAAGCATACCTTTTCTTCACTTAGCATAATTCATATGAGATTTATTCCATTCCATGTTGCTGCATTTATCAGTAATTCATTGTTTTTATTAACTGACTAGTATTGTTCTATTGTGTGGCTGAACCATGTTTGTTTATCCACTTCTTTATCCAATTGAAGGACATTTGAGTTGTTTCTAGTTTTTGGCAATTATAAAATTGATATAAAAATTCATATACAGCCGGGTGCTGGTAGCTTACACTTGTAATCCTAGTTACTCAGGAGGCAAAGACCAGGAGGATCGCAGTTTATAGCCAGCCTGGTCAAATAGTTCGTGAGACCCTATCTCAAAAAACCCTTCACAAAAAAATTGGGCTGGAGGAGTGGCTCAAGGTGAAGGCTCTGAGTTCAAGCCCCAATACTGAAAAAAAAAACAACAACGAATTCACATACAGGTTTTTAGCAACTCAATGATGTCATTAAGGATGGAGTTTTTCTGATCTTTTCCCTCTGAAATTCTTGGTGTATTGTCTTTTTATTCTTGTGCATACCACCATTCAGTTGGCTAAAGATGGCAGTAGCTCTGAGCATCACAAACACATTAAGGCAAGATAAAGGGAGAAATTTTGGTTCTTGTCAACCTTGTTGGAAACAGGAAGAAAAGGAACAGGGGAGTTAGGAGTTTTTTCAATTATATTCATTTACTTTAATACACCTTTCTCTGAGCTTTTTGTTATTCACTTAAGTGAGCAATAAATGGCCTTAGAGTTTTAGTCATCTAGTCAAGTATTCTGCTTCTTACATCCAAAAATGTTACTAATTTACTCAGTTTACACATTTTCTCTTCCCCAACTCTCTCTATTGCCTTTTTTATGGGATTAAACTTTATTTTAATTTTTATTAGCATATGTTATTTGTATAAAGGGGTTTCATTGTGATATTTTTATACATGCATATAATATACTTTGATCAAATTCACCCCAGCTGTTACTTATTCTTATCCCCTACTCTCTCTTCTTAAAACAATTTGTAATGGGCTTCATTATTTTATTTTCATAAGGCACTTAGATCATATTTGCTCCCCACCAATTCATCCTCTCCTGTCGCCCTCCCCCCTTTCCACTGGTTCCTACCTCCAACAGTCCCCATTTTACACTTGTGTCATTCTTTTTTGTTTTCAAGTCTAGATTCTGCATATGAGAAAAAACATAAAGTATTTGTCTTCATGAGTCTAACTTAGTTTGCTTTATATGATGGTCTCCAGTTCCATTCATTTTCCTGCAAATGATGTAATTTCATTCTTCTTTATGGATGAATAATACTCCGTTGTGTATCACATTTTCTTTTCATTTTTTGGCGGTACTTGGGTTTGAACTCAGAGCCTTGCCCTTAGCAGGCACTTTACCACTTGAGTCACTCTGCCAGCGCTTTTTTTTGTGTTGGATATTTTTGTTTTGTTTTGTTTTTGGTGGAACTGGGGTTTGAACTCAGGGCTGTGCAATCTACTGCTAGAGATACTCCTCCAGGCCATTTTTGGGTCTGGCTATTTTTTATTTTTGGTGGTCATGGGGTTTGAACTCCAGGCCTCACATTTGCTATGCAGGCACTTTACCACTTGAACCATTCCACTAGCCTGTGTTGGGTATTTTTGAGATAGGGTCTCTCAAACTATTTACCAGGGATGGCCTCCAACTGCGATCCTTCTGATCTCCGCTTCCTGAGTAGCTAGGATTACAGGCATGAGCCACTGGTGCCCAGTTTATATGTCACATTTTCTTTATCCATCATCAGTCGATGGGCACTAAGGCTGATTCAATAGTTTAGCTATTGGGAATAGTACAGATATAAACACAGATTGTAGGTATCTCTATTGTATGCTAACTTAAATTTCATCAGATATTTGCCCCAAAATGGTGTAGTAGGATTGTATGTTAGTTCTATTTTTAGCTTTTTGAGGAACCTCCATACTGATTTCCATGGTGGCTGCACTAATTTATATTCCTATCACAGGGTATAAGGGTTCCATATTCCCCGGCATCTTCACAAGAATTTGTTGTTGGTTTTCTTGGTGACAGCCATTCTGTCTACAGTGTGATAGAATTTCAATGTGGTTTGGATTTGCATTTCCTTTACAGCTAAGGCTTTCTTCATTTAATACGCATTTGTAATTCTTCCTTTGAGAAGTTTCAAGTCTTATGTTAAGATCTTTGATCCATTTTGAATTGATTTTTGCACAGGATGAGA